ACACACACACACACACACACACACACACACGCGCGCGCGCGCGCGCGCGTGCGCGCACACACACACACAACAATTGACATCCGTCCCTCCACCTGCAGACACTCCTGCCCCCTGCCCCCCTGGTTGCCCCTCACTTGCAGTCCGAGTAGTACTTCCCGGTGATGCCCTCAGCCTCGGGCGACGACGCCAGGAAGATGCTGGTCTGGGCCCCCTGCACCGGCGTCTTGGTGAACGGCGTCATCAGCGACCTTCAGGGTGGGATGGGGGACGACGAACAGGACAAGAGGGGCTGTGGGAAAGGGAGGCCTTGATCAGAGCGCCGGAGCCGACACAATTGAAATGACTCGACCGAGTGGTGGCGGATCGGGTGCACATGAAGCGGCCGTTCCGTCGTCAACCAGACAGCAGCTGCGTGTCGTATCGCATACGAAGTGAGTCGTGCGCGGCAGCCCACCACATGGCCTTGGTCAGGAAGGACGCGTCGTCCGACAGCAGGTAGCGCCCCAGCTCCGTCCGCACCACCCCAGGGTGCAGCGCATTCACGGTCGGCACGCCCGCGCCCTTGAGGCGGCGCGCCAGCTCGTACGTGAACTGGCGAGCGGGTGAAGTGGAGGGGTGGGCGCCGTTAATGTGTTGGGTGATATGCAGGGGGCTTGACTTCATTGCCGTGTCAAGAGTTGGTGTGTTGGTTGGGGGCCTTGCGGGACTGCTGCTCAGCTCCGTTCAAACGCGCCCGACAGCAGTCGCAGTAGCACCGGGCTGTGCTGAAACGTCAGACCAGGAAAAGGGAGCAAGGAGAGGTGAAGGGAGCGGACGGGGGCGCAGAAATGCATTGTTGTGCAGTGTGCCCCATCCACAGGCCATATGCACACCGCCAGGAACCATCAGGAACCTGCCGAGCAAGAGCACTCACCAAAATGTTGGCCAGCTTGCTGCGCCGTCGAATAATTGCAGAAGTGAATGAGGGTAAGGGCCGGTCGCGTTGAGGCGGGGAAGCAAGGGGGTGTTGGAGGCCGGGTAGCGAATGCAAGGCGAGCGCGCCGACGGTGCATCGCCCCTGTCGCTGCAGTGCAGCCAGCAAGCCACACTCCGCCCTCCTGCAGGTCACCGAGCTGCGCCTGCGCACCTCTGGCCGTACGTGGGCCACTCGGAATACCCCTTGCTGCTCCTGAAGGAGTCAAAGTCAATCTTTCCAAAAGCGTGCGCCGCCGACGCCACGTTGACGATGCGCACGGGCCTGGGGGTTCACGGTTGAGGGTTTCGATTTGGGGTGTTGAATTCGGTAGATCACTCCTCACAGGCCTGAAGGGTCTCACTTCGCACGCGCCTCGGGAGCGAACCGTGGTGCAACGTACCAAGGGGGGCGGCAGCTGGGCGCGGCGTGGTGCGGCATGATGGTGGGTTGCTTTGACAAACGCAAGTTGGGACTTCAGGATGTGCTTGGCCACCCTTTCAGCCACCCCGATTCCTTGTCTCAGGACTTGCAGCCAGCACGCGCTTGTAGGACTACTGGAGGGGCGGGTGGCAATAAAAGATCAGGGGCCCCTCAGCCCAGCCTGCCGCACCCCGGGTTCGCCTGCAGCTTGGGGAGGAGGCTGGTTGTCAACAGGAAGTGGCCCAGATGGTTGACACCTGGGGAATGAGGGTGCGTCAGGGGCAGCAGCAACGCCTCTTGTGGCAAGGATGACTGATACCAGACAAGAAGGAGCTTGCGTGAGAGGGCAAGTAGTCGTACGGCCGACAAGCGGGGCGCAGCCATGCGGAACACACGTCGCTTAAAAGGGGACGGCATGCTCGATTGCATGCCACCGCGGGGACGCACCAAACTGGTACTCAAAGCCCTGCTTGGTCTGCGTGGCGGGGCGGCGCGACCGAGTGCGGTACAGGCTTTGACTCAGCGCGGGCGGGCGGGGCCGGCGGCACGGCACGCTGTGGAGCTCGCATGGGCGTCACCGATGCAGTGACAGTCAAGTGGCTACTGATGGCACACGGCGTCAGGAGCGGGGGTATTGGGGACGTGTGCTGTCGGGCCCCGGAGCCCGGGAGC